GTCATAAAATAACAAAAAGGAAAATATGCATGGAAATTATCTAAATTATGAATGAAATATGCTAAAATAAACTATAAAAAGAAGTAAACAAAACTAATTATCAGTTTGCTACTACCTGATATGTTATATGCTAGCATGATATGTTATAGGTGATAGTAGTAGAGTTCGGTTGTTAGGACCGAAGGGTAGTCAGACACCCCAGATACGTCTGACAGTATGTTACGATATGTTTGCATGCTGGCTTGTTATGTTATATACGATAGAGGTAGTAGGAGGGGACCAGTCCCCGAGTTCGGTTGTTAGGAATGAAGGGTAGTCAACACCCCAGAATGGCTTCACACGGGTAGGTCAGCACCCCATAATGGCTTGACATGGGTAGGACGGCACCGCAAAATGGCCGCACGGGTAGTCGGCACCCCAGAATGGCCGTACCGGGTAGTCAGGCACCCCAGAATAGCCTGGCAGTATGTATGTTATGTGTTGTATGGTATGTGGTATGATGGGGGGGGGGGGGAAACTCACTAAGCTTTGTGCTTACAATTTACAGTTTTGGTTTCAGGTACCTCTTCATCGAAGGGGAAGGAGCTGGCTCGGTAGCGGCACATCACGCACACACATTGGTTTCCGCATTTACTAGATGTCCTTGGGATTTATACTCTGATGTTTCGATTTGTTGTATGACTTGTCTTTGAACATGGTTTATGTTGTGATGTAATTTGGTCAAACAATGTTTTATCTTTTAACATTTTCGAAAAGTAATGTTTTAAAAAAATGAAAATTTTGGACCTGAAAATTGGGTCGTTACAATAAAAATGTTATGATTGATTAATTTAATTTTTTTTGCTTATGCGATTATTTTCTAATTTCAATAATGATGATCAATTAGAGTACAATTTATTAATTTTAAATTACTATTTTGTTAGTTTTAAGCCACTTATTATTACTAATAATTTAAAGAAGACTTTTAAGAAACACTTAATATTATTACTCAAATATGAAACATATACTAACTAATAAAGTGATAAGATTTACAATTTACATTTTAAAAGAGACTTTCATGGATAATATAAAATATCCATGATTTTTATAGTTTACCATTTTATTATTATTGATAAGTGAAAGAAATTAAAAAAAAAACACTTACTATTATAATTAAAATGTTAAACAAATACTAAAATATAAAGGGATAGGATAGATAATTCACATTTTAAAAGAGACTTACATGGATAATATCACATATCCATGATCTTTAATTAATTATTTCTTTGAAACAACAAAAATATACAAACATATATACAATATCTAATTAAATACTGTTTATATCACATTCCATAACATATGATCGATAATATGAATCTAATCTAATTTACATTAAAATTTTAACCACAACATACAATGATTGTCTTAAAAGAATACTTACATATATATATATATAGCTCGAAAACTTTAACATAATAACATGGCTCGAAAATGGTCTAAAGCCCTCAAGCCAACACAAAAACTTTTAAACTTGTTTTCTTAGTGAATTTTGTATGTGATTTGTATTTGTGTTTCTACTCAAAGAGATTGACCTTTTTATAGTAAACTATCCATTAATTGCTTATTAAACATATCATATAAGTTATGAAACCTTTGAATAATTAATAATTATTAAGAGACTTTTGAATTGTATTCATTAAGATAAGAGGTTTCAAATGAATATGGTTTGGGTAAAAATATAAGTTGAATAGCCTTGGAAGTTTTAAATGCATGAGGTTCAGGAAAATGTTAGCTTTATAAGATATATATATATATATATATATATATATATATATATATATATATATATATATAATTAGGTTATTGTGTTTTTGAAAAGTATTGTGTGTGCATGTGTGGTTGATTGTGGTGTAATCATTTTAGTTATTTGAAGTAAGTGATTAATAAATATTATTATATTAAAGATAACACAAACATACCAACTAAATTAATTAAAAAGGTGTTTTAGTCAATTAAGACAAATTTAAAAAAGGAAAATTCGAGATATAGGGGATAATTAATGCTATTGATTTAAAATATATATATATATTTTTATATTAGTTCAATTTCATATGTAATTTTTAAGCATAAACCGATTTTATTCTATTAAAATGTTATTTTGTTAGAATGATGTTTTGTGATTCTATCAGAATTGTATTCTATTAGAATATTAAAGAATCATTTTTTTGAACCCCCAATACTTGAATAATAACAACATTTTTATATTTATTCATAGACATCCGAACGTAAATATATATTAATACATATTTTTACAGAACAATAGTCTTATACATTTTAATATAATTACACATGTTTTAACAGAATATCATAAAAATGAATAAAATTCTTAAAATTGCATTCTTAAATATACAATTATTGAATAAATGCACTTGATCATCTTCATTGGTCCAAATAATCGACTTAATTCCAAATATTCTTACGAAAATATGATGTATTATCGTAAAAATATAATTCTTCGCAAATATACTTGTTTTTGAACTCCATTCCAAGTCTCTTCTCTCGTATGATTTATATTTGATTCCTTCTTGAAGACATTTTTAAATAATAACATGCATTAATCGTTATTATTACTATTTAAACAAATATACTTGTTGTTAACAAAACATTCTTAAAGACATTATGAAAGAATGCATTTATATAGATAAATTTTGACAGAATACATATAAGTTTTAACTTATATTTTTAAAGAATTTATAACATCTTTTTTTTTTTTTTTTTTTTTTTTTTTTTTTTTTTTTTTTTTTATAAAAACACCAAAATAACATAACTACACATATTAACTTTAATTCTAAAAGAATATTTCATTTCTGTTTGTTGCTTAAACTTCAATTCCTTAAAAATTCTAACAGAATATTATCTACTTTACTTGTAACAAAATATTTCAACACAAGTATAAACATGTTATTGTAATTTTAACAAAATAGTATGTAGTTTACCTTAACATATTCTAATAGAATATTCCCAATAAGTCCAGCATATCAAACTTGCCTCATTTACACAAAAACCTCCTCTTTTTGACATTATATCAAACACTTGGAAGGAATGTTTTATTATCAACATTCAAAAAAATGAAACAATACAAGCAACATTCAAAAGCATTGATAACAGAAAAAATTGAATTTTGATTCTCATTCACTTCCAAATTCACAATTAGTAGATAAAAAAATTGAGTGTAATCAATGCTAAAAAGATAAAATATTTCCTGATTCTTATTTGGATTCTAAAATGGATGAGAAGACAAAAGAATGGAGCTTAACCGGTGAGTGTTACTAACCTTACTCACGAACATAAAACCCTTGGATGATTTCAGCTACATCAAAAGAAATCGATGGATTTTAAAGACTTGATATCTCTTCTCTCTCGTATTACCTGCTCATGATTCCAATTGATTTTAGCAAAAAAAAAAAAAATCATACCATGAATCAATTATAGATCGGTGCAGGTGTTTACCATGATCGAAAAAGGAAGAACACAAAACCCAAGGATGAAGGATTTAGGCTTGGGTGGAAGTCAACATTTTTATGGTGATGATGATGAAATGAACATTGGCTTTTTTAGGTATTTATAAACTAATTATCTTGGTTAAATGCTATTAAAGGGAAATTGACTCATTATTTTAAGGATTGTAATTTTGGAATATAATTAATTGTACATACATAATGACTAAACTACCATTTATTATTTAATTAATGATTTCTTTTTTCCTTATATATATATATATATATATATATGTGTGTGTGTGTGTGTGTGTGTGCGCGTATGTCTGTGTAAAGAAGATAAGAGAGAGATGAAAGGTCATAGGTTCACCAACCCCCAAATGGTCTGAGCCTGCTGGAACCGATGATGAAGGATTCAGAAACCGATGGTACTATCTCAACTCATTCCATAAACTATCGTCTACTCCCTCCTCCCTTAGGGGTATTACTCCATATTTTAAGTAAATAGTATTCATTTACACCAAAGTGTAGGGTAAAATAAAATAGGGTGAGAGAGGAAGTAGGAAATTGTTGGGAAAAATAATCATGATGATTTGATGATGTAGAATGTAAGAACAACCACAATCATGAAGATGAACTTTGTGAGAAAAATATTTTATTCAATTATGAAGAGGAAACTACACAAAAAGGAAATATGCAATCTAACTAATATTAGCTAAGAAATCTCATTTCATTCAAGGCCTACATTTATAGGAAACAAACAAGTCTAGCTAATTAACCTACATTTCATAAAAGGAGGTCATGATTTAACAATGCAAAATGTAAGAATGAACACAATCACGATGATGAATTTGGTGAACAAAATATTTTATTCAACTATGAAGAGGAAACTACACCACAAAGGAAATATGCAATCTAAATAATCTAAGAAATCTCATTTCATTGAAGGACTACATTTTGCCACTTACCCTAAAATGAATACAACATGACTATTTATAAGGAATAAACAAGTCTAGGTAATTAACCTACATTCATAAAAGGAGGCCCCTTGTCATCATGTATGGAATACTTTGAGAGTAATCGAGGCTGAAGTTACATAACTGCGAACGTGGGGAAGAAGAAGACGGAACATGTGAACGAAGACGGCTGGAACCTCCGATTAACCGTAAACCCATAATTATTACGGCTGACATTGAAAGTTCGTGGAGTTTGAACGACCGAGATTTAGAAGACGGTTTTAGACTCAACGTCATCAATAGTATTAATAATTCAATAAATAGATAGAATTAAAATTAAAATTAACTCAAGATGAACCTATCCCGCGTACCCGTAAGTCAAAATATGACCAAGTAATCTCCACCGTCGAACTATCGCTACGTGACCACATCCTGTGGAGGGACTAACTCTCCCCTCTCCCCCGGTTAAAAAATTATATATATATATATATATATATATATATATATATATATATATATATATATATATATATATATATAAACAATAAAATATTAAATAAATTGGTGTTGAAACTTGAAATAACTCTCTAACAAAACAAAAGTAACCCCTCTCAAATTTCCCCCAAATTCTTTCATTCATTCTCTCTTTATCCCCTCTCCTTACGCTAATCGACCGGTAAATAGTTTTTGCTGCTGTTCCGCCGTCCGCCGGCGCGTGTTTGTTACCCGCGACGGCTAGTGAGTACGATTGCTAACGTGCTAACGTGAGTACAAATGAACGTAATATGTGTATCTATGTGAATATATGGAGCCTCTGTTAGTAACAAAATGTGAGTAATCTCGAATGATGAATTTGAAAACCATCCAAGAGTCTCTCACTCACGTATCGGTTGATTGTGTTTTTCAACTGCTATCCGTGACCTAATTTAGGGTTTTTCGTTGTAGATTTAGGAACTTTCATGTGCGCCATGTCTTTTGTAATGGTTTTGATGCTCCGTGTACGTAGGGTGACAAATCTATTGGTTATGCATACAGACCAATTGAATTCCTCTTTTTTTGGGTTTTCACATAGTCTGGATCGCTCTTTCCCTCCTGTTTACTTTTTTTAAATCGCGATTCACGTTAGGAGATGTTTTCCTGATTACTTATTTCTGTTTGTTTGAGTGTCACCTGACAACCCATGAAGTCTTTGTGTGATTAAAGTCTTCGTTTGGTCCTTTTCTTTAATTGTGGATGACATAAATTCTACATCCTTCGCTCATAATGCTGACTTTCAAAATTTGATTGTCTGAATAGGTTTAAGGAATGAAGAATAGGACTTTGGTTTGAGGTTACAGTCAGAATGGCCTTTTTTAGAAACTATGCTAATGGTACAGTTTCAGACGATGTTTTAAATGACAAGAGCCAGGGTAGAACTACAGAAAGAGCCGAGAGCATTGTAGGAGGCATTGATTTGGAAACAACTTCGAGTGTGGATAAAGGATTTGCAACAAAGATGGAAGATGAGGATGATGATAGCTTATTGAATTTAACAGCTTCTAATGCTGCTACTACAACAAGGAAAGCAACTGGGAGATGGGGCTCAACATTTTGGAAGGATTGTCAACCCATGCATCAGACAGAGGAATCAAAAAGCAGTTCTGCTTACAACAATGAAAACGGATCTGGCAATGATTTGTCAGAAGTGGATAAGGCAAATAAGGGTCATAATGTGGATGAGATGTTGTCTGATGATTACTACGAGTTGGATGGAGATGACCAAAGTGATTCAAAGCTGTTAAATAATGCAGCTGCAGGTGGTTATAATTCAATGCCACAACGAGTAGTTTCTGTCAATAACTTCAACTCAAAAGATTCATCTCGGGGTGCATACGTAGAAGAAGATGCTGATTTTGAAGATGATGATGAGGAGGAAGAAGATGGTATAACTTGATGATATATTCTTGTTTATGAAATCACTCCAATATGTGTACTTCTCTTAAAGATATGGACTTACATTTCCTTAATTTACTACAGAAGATGACCCTGCTGATGCAGATTTTGATCCTGACTTAGTCACCACAAGTGTTGGAAGAGGGAAGAAGGTTATTCTTTTATTTCAATCATTTGTACTTTATTTTGGCCTATCTGTTATTGGGTTTGTAAACAATGACATTTTCAATCCTTAAGGTACAAGATGATGACTGGGATGCTGAGGATTTGGATGAAGAAGATAACTCTGAGGACAATGAAATAGACATTTCAGAAGATGATTTTTATAAAAAACCAAGTGGTATGCAAAGGCAGAAGCGAAAGCCTAGTAGAGAACCCAAACCTTCTACTTCTACATCTTTTGGCAGGAGGAAAAGAGGGAGAGCTTCATTTGATGAAGATGACTCATCTCCAGATGATGATTTAGAAGAGGACTTCAAAAGTACAAGAAGGAAAAGTACAAAAGCTTCCGGAAGGATGAATGAAGTTAGAACTTCTACTAGATCAGTGCGGAAAGTATCATATGTTGAAAGCGAAAGTGAGGAGCATGATGATGATATCAAAAGAAAGGGCCACAAGGTGTGGATTATACATTATACTAGTCATATCACATATGATGTTGTTTATTATAACTTATAAGCAATAGTTTACATAAAGCTTAATTTGTATACCCTTTTTTGAGGTAAGGAGGACATGGAAGAGGAAGATGGTGATTCGATTGAGAAGGTGCTATGGCATCAACCAAAGGGCATGGCAGAAGAAGCTGCACAAACCAACAAATCCACAGAGCCTTTACTGTTGAACCAATTATTTGACTTGGAGCCAGATTGGAGCAATACTGAGTTTTTTATCAAGTGGAAAGGCCACTCACATTTGCATTGTCAATGGAAATCGTTTTCTGAACTACAAAATGTAAGTATTTGATATTTCTATTGTTGTTTAACATTGTGAATGTTATGATGTTATTATTATCATTCCCTTTTTAATCATTTTTGTTTCTGTTTGTGGTCAGCTCAGCTGAGTGGCTTTAAAAAGGTTATAAACTACACTAAGAAAGTTATGGAGGATATAAGGCACAGGAGAACAGTATCTCGTGAGGAGGTAATTAATGGTGGCTATGTATATTTCATGTTCTTAATATTTTTCCTTCTCTTTCTCCCCCTTCTACAATAAAATCAAATGGGATTGTTTTGTTTTATTTAGCTCTATCTTGATTGTTTATTTTTTGCTATCAAGAACTTATAGTCTTATCATTCTATTTTTTTTTTTTTTTTGCAAATGGACATGAATTTTCTTATTTTGTATCTTTTTCTTGGTTAGATCGAGGTCATTGATGTTAGCAAGGAGATGGATCTGGATCTTATCAAGCAGAATTGTCAGGTTTTATAGCTTATGCAATTTGGGTCATTCCTTATTCTCCTTTTACACTGCTCTATGTAATATGTTTTTTTATTTTAAATTGCACCAATTAGGTTGAGAGAATAATTGCTGATAGAATTGGAAAAAGTTCAGAAGTGCCAGAGTATTTGGTTAAGTGGCAAGGACTCTCCTATGCTGAAGCAACCTGGTATGTGGACACAGTTAACTTCTATCATTCTATGAATCTTGATTTTTTATGATATGTTTATAGGTTTTATAGAAGTAGGTTCAATTGTGCTAATTTTTTTCTCTACCCAATGAAAATGAGACACATCACATACTTATATTTATTTATGATATTTTCAGGGAGAAGATTGATGATATTGCTTTTGCACAAGCAACAATTGATGAATACAAGGTAATGTTATAATCTTAATGTGTTACACTTTCAGTTCAAGAAAAGTTATTTGGGTACCCTTTTTATTCCATTATTGGTTTTTGATTTTTAAATTTGGATGTAGGCTCGAGAAGCTGCAGTTACAGCTGCACATGGAAAAATGGTAGATTTCCAAAGAAGAAAGAGTAAAGGTATGCATTCTACTTTTTTTTTTTTTTTTTTCCCTTTCAAGATGCAGTTTTCATTATCTATCATTTCATAACAACAATCTAGGATTTAGTTTCCTTTTTCAAAGACACTATTATCTCTAAATCAAGAACACAATCTAACATTTTTAAATTATCACTTTTATTCTTATAGCAAGTTTGAGAAAACTTGATGAACAGCCCGAATGGTTAAAAGGTGGGAAACTAAGAGATTATCAACTTGAGGGCTTGAATTTTCTTGTTAATAGGTATGTCATACAGATACTTCCATTTTATTTGTTTTATTTAAAACTATACTTATTAACAATATTCACAGTGCAGTTGGAGAAATGATACAAATGTTATATTAGCTGATGAAATGGGTCTTGGCAAAACAGTTCAGTCTGTTTCTATGCTTGGTTTCTTACAGGTATTCATATATCTTAATTTCTCACATGTTTCCATCAATTTCCTATATACAAAGTGATTAAAAATAGTTTTTTTTTATTACAGAACTCACAACAAATTCATGGACCCTTTCTTGTTGTTGTTCCTCTATCAACTTTGTCAAATTGGGCTAAAGAATTCAGAAAGTGGCTTCCTGATATGAACATGATTGTATATGTTGGGACTCGTGCTAGCCGAGAGGTATGTTTGTTCGCAATTGGAATTCATGATTCCATTCCATTGTTGTCAAATGGATGGAATTCATTTCCACCGGAATCTTCTGTTGCTAGTTTGATTATCTGCTTATGTTAGTTTAGTATTAGGGGTAAATAGGAAGAATATAAGTATATAACAAACAAAACAAATCAATGGAAGCAGGTTGCTATTTCTTGTAGCTCAGATTATTTGTAATTTTTTTTTTTTACTTTTTCATGTAGGTTTGTCAGCAGTACGAGTTTTTCTCTGATAAGAACACAAACAATGTTGGAATTGGAACTACTAAGTTTGATGCACTATTGACTACATATGAAGTTGTATTAAAGGACAAGATGGTTTTATCAACAATTAAGTGGAACTATCTTATGGTTGATGAAGCACATAGATTGAAAAACAGTGAAGCTTCATTATATACATCACTCAATGAATTCAGCACGAAAAACAAGCTTCTTATTACTGGGACTCCCTTGCAAAACAGTGTTGAAGAACTATGGTATGCTAATTTTTATCTATCTCATCTCTCACTCAAATAAACCCTAACTTTTTTAACAATTTATACTGTTATATAATGGTTATTGCAGGGCGTTGCTTCACTTTCTTGACTCTGATAAATTCAATAGCAAGGATGAATTTGTTCAGAACTACAAGAACCTCAGCTCATTCAATGAGATTGAGGTGCAAATTATTATACTTCTATCCTTTTGCATTTAGTAAACCCTAAAAATGAGATGATATTTTATACTTTGATAATTTGTATACATAGCTTGCGAATCTTCACATGGAGTTGAGGCCCCACATTCTGCGAAGAGTTATAAAAGATGTGGAGAAGTCCTTACCCCCAAAGATTGAGCGTGTTCTCCGTGTTGAAATGTCTCCTTTACAAAAACAGTAATATTCTTTTTCCATTTCTACCCCTACTTGATTCTGAAGGGGTTCTATATCTTTACTGGTTTATAACTTATTTGTCAGGTATTACAAATGGATTCTTGAACGCAACTTTCATGACCTCAACAAAGGTGTACGTGGAAATCAGGTTTTAGCCTCAACTAAATTTAAAAATGAATGAAAAATATTAAATTTCTTATTGACTTTGAATCTCATCTGTTGCAAATGTGGAGGTTTCTCTTTTGAACATTGTGGTGGAGTTGAAGAAATGCTGTAATCATCCATTCCTGTTTGAAAGTGCTGACCATGGTTATGGTTATGGTGGAGACTCTGCTATAAGTGGCAGCAGTAAACTAGAGAGGGTAATTCTTAGCAGTGGAAAGCTAGTGATCCTTGACAAGCTTCTTGACAGACTTCATCAGACAAATCACAGAGTTCTAATATTTTCACAAGTATGAATGCTTTTCCACAACATCAACATGAGTATATTATATCAAATTATTAATATTTGAATGCATTGCATTTGCAGATGGTTAAGATGTTGGATATTCTAGCAGAATACCTATCAATTAAGGGGTTCAAGTATCAGAGACTTGATGGAAGCACAAAGGCTGAAGCAAGGCATCAAGCTATGGAGCATTTTAATGCAACTGGAAGTGATGATTTCTGCTTCCTTCTTTCTACTCGTGCTGGTGGTTTAGGTATCAACCTTGCAACAGCAGACACAGTTATCATTTTTGACTCTGATTGGAATCCTCAAAATGATCTCCAGGTTTATAAATTATAATTTATAATTTATAATTATGCTTTGCTTCTTTTTTACTTATTTCAAACGTTTTCTCTTCCTTCTTTTTCCTCTTTTGGAAATTTTTCTGCAACTATATGTTATGTTTAAGTTTTTCTCTTGTCTGTATATGCTTCTTGTTAATCATTTTGAAGATTTCCAAAATCTTGTTAATCTTGTGTAGGCAATGAGCAGAGCTCATAGAATCGGACAACAGGAGGTTGTTAATATTTATAGGTTTGTGACAAGCAAGAGTGTTGAGGAAGACATCTTGGAACGTGCAAAAAAGAAAATGGTATATGCTCTTTTAAGCATAATCTGTTATTTAGTCTAGATTGATACATTATTTTCATAATGTGAACTGTAAATATATTTTTGTTTGAATGCAAGAAAATGGTATAATTTGGTAGATTTTTTCAAAGTATGAAAAAAATTGGAAAGAAATGAAAGTAGAATGCTATAATAAACAAGTAATTGAAAGTAGGTTGCCATTTCTTGCATTTTTGCTTTCTAGCTCTATGTGTGCTCTACAAAAATGCTTGTATTTTTTCTTATGTTTGGATTTGTTCTTTTCATTTCAGGTACTTGACCATTTGGTTATTCAGAAACTAAATGCAGAGGGAAGATTAGAGAAAAAAGAAGCGAAAAAAGGGAGTGCATTTGACAAGGTATTGTAAATTATATTATATTATGTAGTATGAAAATAAGCCAATGAATATTAACGAGTCTCATTCTGTTATGGTTTCAGAATGAGTTATCAGCTATTTTAAGATTTGGAGCTGAGGAACTGTTTAAAGAAGATAAAAATGAGGAAGAAAGCAAAAAACAGCTTCTAAGCATGGATATTGATGAGATTCTTGAAAGAGCAGAGAAGGTTGAACAGAAAGCTGCTGAAGACGAAGCAGGACATGAATTACTCAGTGCATTTAAGGCAAGAAAGAAAATCATGTATTTATTCTTCTAGCTGTTCAAAATTATCAAATTTCTAACAATAATAGTATTTTGTTTTATTTCCTGATTTGATTTGGCAGGTTGCAAATTTCTGCTCTGCTGAAGATGATGGAAGTTTCTGGAGTCGCTGGATAAAACCTGATGCCATCTCACAGGCTGAGGTAGGTGTATGTGTGTACATATTATTATTATTACTATTTTATTTTCTGAGAAAGTGATTATTTATTATAATAAATGTAGGAAGCCTTAGCCCCTCGGGCTGCAAGGAACAGCAAGAGTTATGCTGAGTCCACCCCATCTGAGAGAAATAACAACAAAAGGAAAAAGAAAGGTGTTGAATTACAACTACAAGACAGAGGAATAAAACGCAGAAAGGCTGCTCCTGATTATTCCACTTATCAACCACCACCACTTGAAGGAGCTTCTGCTCAAGTCAGATCCTGGTCTTATGGGACCTTACCAAAGAGAGACGCTACACGTTTTTTTCGTGCAGTGAGTCTGTGTGTGTGTGTGTGTGAAGTGAATAAAGATGAGCAATTAATTTAGTATTTGTATTTAGGTGAAAAAGTTTGGAAACGATAGCCAAATGAGGATGATAAGTGAAGAGGTTGGTGGATCTGTTGAAGCTGCTCCTGTTGATGCACAGGTTGAGCTTTTTGATGCTTTATTAGATGGTTGCAGAGAAGCTGTTAAAGGAGGAGGAGCTATGGACCCAAAGGTTAATTTACTTTCTTAAATTGCTCCATTAGTTGAAAATCAACATGAAAATGAATGAATTTTGTTTTGATGTGTTAGGGGCCATTGTTGGATTTTTTTGGTGTTCCTGTGAAGGCTGATGATGTATTGACCCGAGTGGAAGAACTTCAACTCCTTGCAAAAAGAGTAAACCGCTACAATGATCCAATCTCACAGTTCCAGGCTTTGATGTACCTCAAACCTGCAACTTGGTCTAAAGGCTGTGGCTGGAACCAGAGTAAGTTTCTCTTTTACTTTTTTTTTTTTTTTTTTTTTTCTTTTCTCACGAATTACAATTATGGTTTTTTTTTTCAGAGGATGATGCAAGACTGCTGCTAGGGATCCACTATCATGGATTTGGGAACTGGGAAAAGATACGTCTGGATGAAAAGCTTGGCCTTTTGAAGAAGATTGCTCCTGTGGAGCTTCAACACCATGAAACTTTCCTACCACGTGCTCCTCAATTAAAAGAAAGAGCTTCTCAACTTCTTCAAATGGTAGGTCATCATGCATGGTGACGTGATTTATCTAAGCTCCTATACTTGATACGAGTGAAATGGAAAGAAAAAAAATATTTGATATGAGTGGATTTTTGTTTGTTTGCTTTAAGGAACTTGTGGCTGTTGGTGGGAACGCCAAAGGAGGTCGAAAGCCCACTAAAAAGCAAAAAGATCAATTTCCAATCACCAACCCGACTTCTCACACTAGAGCCAAACAGTGGAAACCAGGAGAAACAAAACTCCCGAAAAATAAAATGAAAATGAAAATGAAAATGAAAATGACACGTGGCAGTGGAAAGAAAAACGAGGGTTTGGTTAAAGAGGAAGGTGAGATGTCAGACACTGAAGAAGTGTATGAACAGTTTAAAGAAGTTAAATGGATGGAATGGTGTGAAGATGTCTTGACTGAAGAAAAAAAGACACTCGAGCGCCTTCATCGCCTACAAACCACCAGTGCAGATCTTCCTAAGGAAAAGGTACATTCTCTTTCCTTTTTTTAAGGGTTAAATTGTAATTTTAAAAGCTTGGGAAACTTAACTGAAATATTCGTCTTCTTTAGGTTCTTTCGAGAATTAGAAATTATTTGCAGCTTCTCGGGCGAAGAATCGATCAAATTGTTATCGACCATGAGGAGGATCTGTATAAACAAGAAAGTACGCACGCAACTTTTTTTTTTCTCTCTCTTTATGTTTATTTATTTTGTCCTGTGTAACAAGCAAACAAATATTTTCAGAGATGACAACACGTCTATGGAACTACGTGTCAACCTTCTCAAATCTATCGGGTGCCAAACTTCAACAAATCTATTCCAAACTCAAACAAGAGAGAGACTCAGTAGGAGTAGGAGTGGGCCCTTCCCAAATCAACGGAGGAGGTTTCAGAAACAACAACCAATCATCATCCACATTAGTCCACAAAGGTCTCGACACTGCAAAATTCGAAGCATGGAAAAGAAGAAGACGGGCCGAATCCGACCCAAACACCCACACCCATTTCCAAAGACCTTTTGCTAACGGGACCGGGACCCGTTTACCCGACCCAAGTATCGGAATCCTTGGGGCAGCCCCATCTGATACCCGACCCGCTTTCGGTCAAAGACAAGGAGGGTTCACGTGAGTGAGTGTGGGTATATATATATATATATATATATATATATATATATATATATATATATATATATATATATATATATATATATATATATATATATATATATATATATATATTGCAATTTACACCTGTTTTCTTTTTACATATCAGAAAATTCCTATTATTATTGGTCTCACCCTACCCTGGTTGCAAAATGCAAACCTTTTTTTTATGCTTCTTTTTGGCTTGTGGAAATACAAATATTATTTTCTGAAGCCAAAAGATGGTGGTGGTGGTGGTGGTGGTTAACCGATGAGAAACAAAATGGAATGATCTCTTTTTTCTCTTATATATAGCAAACATTAACAGTTTTATGTATCTCTGAAATTGTATACTATCACGTTTTTGGTTAACCAATTATCAGTCTCTTTTTGATGTTACTAGCTTTTGTAGTATGCTTGGAGGAGGGTAGAATCCGTAAATGAGATTTATCACTCACATGCTGGCTGTGGGACCAGTGTATTATTATTATTACCCCTTTTACTAGCGTTGTTAGAATTTTTATTTGGGTTAAGTAGCAATTATTTGTGTTATAGGTAGATAATCACCTTTTCTATTAAGTCATGCTTTCAGTTTTTTCCTAATTAAGGTATTGTATGTTTGAATATTATATTATAGATGTGAAAATTGTTTTATGTATTGATGGTATTGATATTACTGACTAGATTTTTCAAAATAAATTTATAACAGAAGAAATGAAAGTGGGATACTATATAAAATAGCAAAATCAATGCAAAAGTTTTTCGCTATGATGAAAATTGCTATATGTAGTGCTGAAGAATTTTTGATTAAATTAGGTTTTCGTTAGAAAAAGATTATATAAAAACAGTGATAAATAGATAATTATAGAGCAGTAAAAAAAGGAAATAAAATAACATAATATAGAAAAGATACACAAAATTATATAGAAATCACTATCCTACTCTTAGTTTTTATTTCCTGAGTATAATTCTTTAATTTAATTGAATTTTATTTGATTAGTGCAAAGTTTCTTAAAAATCTCTGCTTTTTATAAAAAATATCTTGAACAATGTTGGTGGCCGAGCGTTGTTTAAATAAGTTTGATTCTTGATCGGATAATAAAAATCCACTTTGTGAAGATCTCTTTCTTCTCTTCGGGACCGGATATTAATTACAACGATTTGATAGACAACTCATCGAGAAAAAATGATTTGAAGTTCAATAATTATCAAATATATCAAATAAAATTAAGATATTTTTTTATTGAGTGGTCTTTAGTCCCTATTTAGTTTTGGTAAAAATCTATTTGGATTCTTTATTTGGATCTGTGAGACAATTGAAGCAATGTTTAATTGTTCTAAGATGCTTTATATTTGTTTTAAATAAGTGGGTTTAGACATTATTTCGGCGTTTTTTCATCATTTCAAAATGATAGCAATATACCCCTTTTGTGATTTATTTCTAGAATACGGTTGGTTTGTGCGTGTACACTGTGGATCGAAAAAGTTATGTGGTTCCAACAATTTTTTTTTGAATTGAAAATTTGCTTGCATCAGATCCTTTCAATTTTTATACTGATATCGAAGATACCCTTACGAACTTGTTCCAATTTATTGATTGACATTAACAGTAGATCGTTGCCCATGAGAAATTAATCAATACTTTCTACTCGAGTTCCACCATGAACTATTTACATTAAAACCCAATTAAAAAAGAAGGATTCTAGTAGATGTGTGTGTGTATATATATATATATATATATATATATATATATATATATATATATATATATATATATATAAAGAGAGAGAGAGAGAGAGAGAGAGAGAGAGAGAGAGAGAGAGAGAGAGAGAAGGTGAAATGTTTCCTACAAGTATTGTATGTATGTATGAACCAATGAGAATTTAGTAATAATTTAATCATTAAATTTAAGAATAAGGTTAGCTTAGTCATTTTACCTTTATAAACCAAAAATAAATCTTGTATATGGAAAATCATTAAACGAATATCACATACATCCTTTTTAAATCATTGCTTCATCTCACTAACCTTAATCCCATGCTCTTTTCTTTTTTCAATCGACAATTATAATCACCATAACCGAAACAGTAGCCTCATCGCCATCTTTTATCCAAGTAACCCATCTAGATTGCTAATCAACACATGTTGAATTGCCCTCAAATGGTGTTGACCCCCCTCCAACCCCCCACTACATGTAGCTCGTTAATCTTCCCACCCCTGTACCCTTAACTCAGTCATCCAATTTTGGTTCTGGTTCATGTGACACACAGTTAAAAGTGGAGATCAAAATTGCATACGACATGCATTGAGAACGGGTTCATTGAGAGATCGACAAGGGGGAGCCATTAGAAGTTGAGCAACGTAGATTGAATGTAAAAAAATTAGGGTATGTGCCTTTTTTTTTTTTTTTTTTTTTTTTTTTTTTTGCAATGGAGACGTCTAGTGGCACTGGTGACCAGAAAAGTTTATCATCTCATCTCTCAAGTGCAATAATTAGAAGTTTGATTCAGGCTCCAAATATGACAATCGTTCGGTAACTCCTATCATCTGTTTTCTTGAATTGTTATTCATGGTTTCGAGAGTCGTTATGGTTTGAAATGGATGGAAGTTGCTAATATATTGAATATTAGCAATTTGAAATGTGAATTGTTGGTCTAAACCTTTTGTTGACTATATATGATGGGTTCGAGAGTCTGGTCATCATTTTTTACTTAAATCCTATAAATTTGATTCAATTAAACTCCGTAAATTCAATTGCTTATTTATATGTTTTAAGCAAGTTTTATACTTTTTTCTCCATTAGATTTTGATTCAGTATACCTGGAACTCGAATGACTGGATAAATTTCTGATTCGTTTTCCTTTGTGTTTGTTTTATAAAGTCCTTAATGTGTTGGAGCACTGGAAAACAAAACGAAACTAACCTTTTGATGCCACACAAAACCATGGTTAGATATATGTTATTCATTTGATTATTGATAAATTGAGTGGTAAAAAATATGTTAATTTTTTTTATTCATGTCTTCCGATCATGGTTTTGGTTAATTATTTATATGTTGATAATAAATTCTGCTAGAATTTTACTATTTTATTCTGATAAAATTTTAGTATTTATATGTTGATAATGCATTTTAATATAATTTTACTATTGCATTATAATAGAATTTTACTGTTGCATTCTAACAGAATTATATTATTTATATGTTGGAAGAATTTTTAGTTGATAAGTGTGCATTACCAAGAGATTTGATCTTAATTTAATTTAATTTTTTATTTTAAATTTGCAAAGATCATTGTTCAAACTAATGATTTTTCTTTATGGATTTAGGTTTTTAAGAGACTGACATTGATGTGGAAAATGAAGATAATATGGAGAGAACATGAGTGTATTCTAGCAGAATGTATTTTGCTAGTATGTATAAAGTGATTCTTAACAATAATACTATTTCAGAATTGGTTAATGTTTTTGAAGTTTTTTTGGATAGTAAGTTGGTGTTTTGCTTATGCATTTGAATGAAATCCTTAATGTTAAAGGTGTTTATGATTGGAAATTTATGAGGTATTCATTTGAGATTCAAAATTTCTTAGGGTTTTGCTTGGTCCTTATCCGGAAGATCATCCTGCATGTGTTCTACATTCCAAGAGTCAATGATGGTTTGTACCTAGTTGAGCCGGTTTAAGATATGGTTTGGTTACAACACTAGTGGGTGGTAGTTCGAACCCTAAGTGGAGGAGAACTAGGTATTCCGCTTGGAGGTTCATCAATTTGTTCTAGTTTATGGTGTCGGAAGAATGGTTCATAGGGATCTGCGGTGCGGGTATGCAAGAATTCTGTTTAAGATTTGGTCAACTCAGGGGCGTAGAGCAAGTGCTTATCGAATGTATGTATTCAGGAAATACACGAGTTGTATCGTAGCAGGTAATAGTTGGTCAAGGAGCTCGTTGTAGCCATTGGTTCCTTTTTGGGATGCCAATGAATAAATGAGGGCTCGCTAGGATCGCTCATGTTGAGTATTAGTTGTTGAGGGACTTGTTAGCTTATTGTATGGATTGCTATTTACAATCTAGATTGGGCAGTTGTCGATCGGTAAATCAGTTTCAGAGATGGGTATGTTCAACTCTGCGTGGGGTTTGGTTCACTGGATTAGGTGTCAATGCATTCTTGATCATTGGTCATTTCATACATCATCAAAGCGGAGATTGTTTGGAAGTTTTAAGCTGTATTAGTTGAAGTTCAACGGATTCATCAACCTATCGTCAAGTTCGACTCGAGTTTGGAAGATGTTCGTGGTTATTGAGAGTCTAGAATTTGGGACAATGTTGCTCAATTTTCTAGATGTGACATTTAATCTGCATGGAATCTAATTTTTGGCATGCATGCTGGCAGGGTTGGCATTTGGATGGATCCAACTAGAGTCTTAACAACATTTATGGATAAACTTAAATGTTTTATCGAGATAGTTACGTATTGATAAGGTCTGTTCAGTCTCAATCAAGGTATGTGATCTTGTTTTGATCGTTCATGAGAATGTCTTCTGTTAATGATTGACGTTGATCATTTCATTAGAACTCTAACACTTCACTCCTTTTAGGTAAGGTTATGGGTTCCCTAAGGGTGTGTATTGTGGTAAGTTCATTAGATGTTGTCGTGAGGGGGTGTATATGGACTGGACAAGATTACAATAGAGCACTCGGTTCAAATTATATCTATGACTCTTATTTTGGGTTATAGCCTTTGAATTGGAAAAAGACTGCAACTGTTTATCCTATTCTCGGGTCATGTGCGATCATGTTTTCGTCGGATTTTGCGTTGGTAGCAGCTTGTACTATGAAAGGAATTGTACGTGGTAAAATAGTATGGCATTATTGTGATTGATTAGCGTTGAGAGGGACGTTGATTAGGTTCCTGCAAGGCAGTATAATGAGGTTAAGTATCTTTAGGCTCCCGTAGTGTTGGTCGTGAGTTTTCTGGAGAATGATGGAATGTCGACAGGATTGGCGTAATACCTAGAGCATCTTAGACATGGGCTAAGGGTCGGGAAGGGCATTCCAAACTCATGATGTGGGCTTGAAGGCAACCCAGACCTATGCTGAGGACCTTATAAAGGCATTCCAGACATAGGTTGTGGGCCTTGTGATCATTATTGTCATTGTTGGAAGTCGGGAGACTGACAAACTAGCTGGTTTGGATAAAGTGAGCAGTTAAGGGTTGTTGGGAGTATCAGTCATTCATCATAAAATCTCTTGCAGAGTGTTTGCAATATAAATCCCGTTTCTTTACAAGCTGTTATTAGGGATTGGTTACCAAGGTTGGGTATCGGTTATGGAGTCTAGAGTCATGAAGTTCATTGTGAATCTTTCGAGTGATTTTCTAGGTGGGGGTACATTTGAGCTGATAAGGGTTGGATGCAATGTGAAAATTCTTAGATTGA